GGTCTTACTGACTCCAGGCCCAGTGGAGTATTACACCACTTAGCTGCCTCTAAGAAGGACATGTGCCAGTCAGTGACACAATCACCCCACTGGGCTGTTCTATCAGGATTGCAGATGGATCACTCGGCTTCATGAACATTGGTACTGAGGCAATTTATATCTAGGAGTACAAAGGGAGCTGGAGCCTTTCATGAATGTACTAATTTAGCAGACCTCAATACACCAAACAGGAGTAAGCTAGGTAAAGATGTACACAGAAACTTGGAAAGTTTCTATGGTGCTCAGCAATGACCCCCATGAATTCATCAGACACTCTAGATGTTTCTAGGTCTGTCCTCTACTCTTTCTCTAGAGGGGAAGAAGGGCTTGAGTCTGAGAAAATGTCTGCAGTGGCATCCCATGTTAAGGTGATACTATGCTCACATAAGTAAATCCAGGAGCTTTAAGGGGGGAAATATAGTGAAAGCCATTTGTATGTGTATCAGGTGTAGGCATGGAAGGTGCATTCCAAAAATCACCAAGATAAAGTCAGGAAGAAATTCATTAAGATCTCAGAAAACATCACAATCCCAGAAAACAGGCAAGATAGAATAGTGATAGGGAATTTCAGTTATCTGGACATCTGTTAGAAGAAACTTTCTACTGACAAGTACAGCTGATAAATTAATGCCTTATCTCAATAAAAGTATAATTTTTGAAAGACCTGCTATTCTAACGCTGGTTCTCCAAAACAAGGAATAACTGTTTACTGAAGTAGAAATGGGAGAATGATGCTTATTGAATATTAGGCTGTAGAAGAGCTTCTAGGCAGCAATAGCAGCTGCTAACTAGAGCTCTGCACCCACAAATCTAAGGATGGGATAATGCGTAAGGAAAGGGCATTTCTATCAGGGTAGAGCCTATGTGACTGTAAGACAACCAATGACTTATTCAGACCCTCTGGGCACCAACTCTGTGGTGACCCCTTGACTTCCAGATTCCTGGAAAGTAACACTGTCTCACAGACAATGGGGAAATTATTCCTGTCTCCATGGTCTCTATTATTTTCCAACTAGTGCTGGCTCTTGTGAGTGTTGAGAAAGTCCCTATTCTGCTCTCAACCTTGCCCTACAAGCCTCAGTGGGCAGGCATTCCTTCCTTCAGGGCATGTGTGAAATGAGTCCACCCCCCTTCAAAGCAAAAAGCTCAGAAGAGTAAATTCTCCATCTGGGAGGGTAATAAATTTAAATTTCTGAACTGAAAAGGACCTTAGAAGTCACCTAGTAAAACCTCCTTAATTTTATAGTTGGGGAAAGTCAGGTCCAGAAGGTCAAGTGATTTTTCTTAAAGTCACCTTGGTAGCAGAATCAAGATTTGAACCCTCAGTTCTCTGATTTCACATCCAGTGTTGTTTTCTCTGTACCATGCTGCCTTCCTAGCTCAACCCTGCCCTACCTCCCCAGGGGAGTCCAGTCTAACCTTTCCTCCACTCATCTTGAGGGTTATTAGTCGCATGTCCCTAGTGAGTCTGTTGAATAATCATATTCTGAGGACAGTGATGGGGGCGTGGGATTAGGAAAAGGAAGAGTAGGACAACATCATGAGAAAATGAAAAGCAAAGATCAGGGAGATTTTCACAAGAGAAAACATTAAAACATAATAATGCAATGCTACCTTAAATTGTGTGATGCTGTTTTGCTTTTTAAAACAGATTTTCATGTGCTATTTATCTTTTTTTTTCTGCCTTATAGAGAGTTGTATGACAGATAAGCATTGTGTGACAGACAGACCATTTGACCAATGGCTTACACTAAAGTCCTGTTCCAAGGCCTCACGCTGGTATAGAAGTGATCCTGGGTTCTCTCCACAGTGGACCTAAAGTTCTGGCAAGACTCAACTGGAAAGAGCTTTGAGGCTAGGCTGGTGGCAGACTGTGGTCCAAGAAACAGCTCAGCTTTGGAGAAGCTCATTATCATAATTAGCCATCAGCTAATTATCATCTCAGCCACTGCAATTCATAAAGTGCTCTAATAATTCAATTCAGTAAGCACTTATTAAGTACTTTCCTATGTGCCAGGTACTATGCTAAGTACTGGGGATACAAGTACAAAAAAAAAAAGTCCCTGCCTTCAAGGAGCTTACATTCCACTAAGGCTTAGTGCTGATGCAATATGCATCCCTGATGATGAAGCAAAGGTCATTGTGAGTCCTAGAGAGATTTTTAAATAATTCCCTAGCCTAAGGCCACACAACTCAGTAACAGGACCAGAATGGGAATGCTGTTCCCTAAACTCCTAATTCTGTGTTCTTGTGACCAGATGGTTTTCTTTCTTTCTTTTTTTCTTTTTATGAGGCATTTGGGGTTAAGTGACTTGCCCAAAGTCACACAGCTAGTAAGCATTATGTGTTTGAGGCCAGATTTGAACTCAGGTCCTCCTGACTCCAAGGCTGGAGCTTTATCTACTGTACCACCCAGCTGCCCTGTGACCAGCTGTTTTTCAAGAATGGGTCCATTAAAATTCATCAAGCACCCTTGGCATGCTCTGTGTAAGACACTCTAAGCCTAGATTAGACATCTCACATTGATGATTTCAGTGGGGTCTCCCTGAAGCATGATTCTAAGTTTCAGGAATCTGGAGCTCCAAGAATAATCCAAAGTTTGGGGAGCTTCTAAAATCTTTTCCTGCACTGGCTTAAAAAAAAAAACAACCAAAAAACTAAACTTGTCAAAAGAATAATGACACTCTCAATAGGCATAGGTGGTAATAAAGGGGAAATCTGACTGTCAAGTAAACCTGTCAAGGTACTATTCATAGCTGAATGCAAATTTGAAAAGTGCTCTGAAATTCTGTCTTGCCTGCCTAGATTAAATACCAGTTTACATTTTAAATGCACTGGAACATCTGGCATTAGCTTAGATTTTTTTTCATCTACTCAATGTTTTCGTTACGAAAATGTTTGTTTGAATTTTTAAGATACATAAAAACAACAGTAAAGGGTGAAATGGGCATCTCCATTCAAATTCTAAGTTGTTTTGGTTAGAGAGACCCCTGGTGGTTTGAGAGGGAAATGATGCATCATGCTCAGCTTGCCTTTAGAAAGTTGATTCCTTTCCCTCAATCACCATCCTCATGAGATTGATCATGCAAATCCTGAACTCTGGATTCTGGAAAGGGTTTCAAGCACTGACTGGGAGTATTTACAGTTGGCTCTTGGAGGATGTGACAAAGGGTAGGAGGAAATGCCTACCTTTTATTGGAATCAGGATACTGCCATTTCAAATTCCTGCCTTTTGCTACAAACATAGCTTAGCTTGTCTAAAGGTCTAGGTGACAACTCTTGCTGACCTCAGGTGATCATGTGAATTGATTCTATGTTACGGTGGCTAAACAGCATAATCAAGGAATGCACCCCCCCCATACATACACACACCTCTCTTTCTCTTGCATGTGTCCACAAGTGCCTGTCCACAAAAGAATACTGAATTTCCACCAACTTCTGTTTACAGTTTAGCTCCTGGATGATTTTCCAGCTCAAAATACATCTCTGTCTATTCATCCTTTTTAAAAAGAGGGAAGCAAATGCTGGTATTTCAGCATTATTTAACATGCTTACATTCTGTCCTGTAATTTCAACCTTGCTTATTGTCTTTACACAAAGGAAAGGGTAGACATACACACATCTCCCTTTGGAGGCTGCCCAAACTAGGGTGTTTGTATCATTACCCAAGTGGAGACTGCAAATGAAGAATGGGTTCTGATGTTCTGACTGGCTCCACAGGATTCTTGCTGAGCAAAGAATGTGTTTTCACCATGTACATGTAATCTGGGGGAGGGGGAAGATCAAAACATGCATCATTGCCATTTGGATGTATACCCTCAATTAATTGAACAGACGTAATCTGGCAAAGTTGTGGACAAGTCAAATTTCTCTAAATTATTTAATATACTGTTTTAAATGTAATTGGGGAAGGTTCCTATTTAAAATGAATTCCGAAAGGAATCCCTTCTGTAAATCAAAAGATCCTTCTGTAACATGAACAATCAGTCATTCCTCATTCACCAGCATTTAGAGTTCATTTTGGGTTACATTGGGTTCTGTTAACCTTGATTCCTTAAGTGAACCTGTGACATCACCTGTTTTTCTCCAGTATCAATCCCATTTTCAGACACCATTCTTCTGAAACCAGAATTCATAAGCACAGAATGTCAGAACTGCAAGCACACCCCTAAATTTCTTCAATAATGGAAAGCATACCAGGGCTATTTTTCATTTAAAATCTCATAGACTAATGGGGGGAAAAGGTTGTTAAGGAAACAATGATGTTTTAATTCACCTCTTTATAGCATCACATATTGGAGTCTTCTGAATGATACTGATTATAAATATTTAGATAGCAAATTCTCTCCCAGAGAAAATAAAATCTTTAAGGTGTCAGGACCCAGACTCAACATCATTGTGTTGTGTTACTATCTTGCTTAGTGATCTCATCAATTCCTGGATTCAATTATCTCCATGTGGATGATTCTCAGATCTATTTATCAAGCCCTAACCTCTCTCCTGAGCCTCCAGTCTTCCATCTCTAACTGCTTATTGGACATTGGGTACTAGATTTAAACATATTAAACTCAACATGCCCAAAACTAAATGTATTGTCTTTGCCCTAAGACCCTCCTCTCTTCCAAACTTCCCTGTCACTGTTGAGTTAGTCATAAAACATTTATTAAGCACCTACTATATACATCAGGCACTGTGCAAGCAATGGAGATACAAAGAATCCTCCTGGTCATGTAGACTTGCAACCTAGGTGTTACTCTCAACTCTTGGCTCTCTTGTACTCTGCCATGTCTAATCTGTTGCTAAATCTTGTCAATTCTATCTTTCTATCTCTTTATTTCTTTTAGTGCCTTAAGTATATTATTGGCCAGTCTTTAGAAAAGTATTGTCCTGGACTCGCCACATAACACCAAAAGTGCAGCCTCCTACTCCCAAAGAGAGAATGACAAAAACAGTTTTGGAAATGGATAAAAGGTAACAACTTTATTTTAAGGTTGTATAAGAAGTATTTCAAAAATAGTAAACATTCTATCAGTTCCAAAATAAATCCTTCAACTATTGCACATTTATGAGGTTTTTTTCTTTACAATTACACAAATATTTTCATGTAGTATATAAACATGGCATTTAAGGTTTTTAAAGCTTTTTAAAAATCAACAAAATTATCTTTATGTTGTTATTAACCTAGAAAAATGGAAATTTTACTGAGGAAAACCAATAGAAAAGAAGGAAAACAAAGAAAAGGGTAAAAGGGACAGGTAAGAAAATAGAATTCTGGATTTCAGAGGAAAAAACTCCAGGAAAATAAAATAGCCCCATAATGTGGAAAAATTAACCTTCCCCTCATTATTGAACTCCATTTAATGTCAGTGCAACAAACTTTTATTTATATAGCGCACGTATCCCCAGAAACTAGGGTGTAAAATTTTTTTTTCATTTAAAAATATTTTTTGCTGGCAAATATTGATCATTGCTTGAAATAGCACAATATCTATCAGGCACGGCCTCTTTGTCCTCACAAATCCTCTAACCTCACTGTCTAAAGGGTTCACTTAACTACTTCAGCCGGTGGAGTCCTTCCACCAGCCCATTTCCATATGGTCCCTTCAATTATCAACTGAAGCAAATTAACTTAAGACAATAAAACAAGATCTATCTGCCTTCTTGATGTGGATGCCATTTGCAAGGAGCTGATGAACATAAAAAATATGCATCTTTCATTTGAGAGGGTCCAGTTGTCCCCCTTCGACTCCCCCCAAATACTTCCTCCCTATTTTTTACAAGGCTCACATAGGTCTACAGAAGGTCATGAATTAGCTGAGGAGGCTTTGATTTACTAAGGTTTCCTAAACAATCCTGTTTGAGTGATTGCTTTCAAAAGAAAACACTCCTCATTTCTTCCTCCCTCCCCAGCCCCCTGCTTGCCAATCACAAACACCTGAACAGCACCCTGTGCTTAGCAGAGTGGCACTGCTGTCCCCTTTTGCTGGGGCCCCACAACCTCTAAGAAGAGAGGGTTTTAATCTGCTCTTAAATCTCAGGCTCCCAGCAGCAGCAGCTGGTGCAGAACAGTGCACCCCATTCCTCTGCAGTGAGAAGCAATGACTGAGAGGCCTTGGGTGACAAAAGCATTCCTCATCACACAAAGATAGATGGTGAGCCATCTGGCACATATGTACGGATGCACCACCTCAGCCAGGAAGTGCACAAGTCAAGTCAGAGTGGAGAAACATTGGAAAGGAAGCAGAACAGACTGTAGCAGATAGAGGGATTCCAGAGGTGGATAATAAAGGGCCAAAGGACCATGACCACAAATTAAGGGAATACAAGCATAAGGGTGGGGGGGCCAGGGGAAGGGTCCTGGAGAGGGGAAAGGGATGTTGGGAAGAGGAGGAGGAAAGATGAAAACTGAAAAAGAGGTCGTATGCTGTAAGAGAATGGCACTTTGAGGTAAACCGTGATCTCAACAATATGATAAATGTAAAGACTTGCATTAATAAAAACAATGATAGGAAGTTTTCACATGGACTCTACAGAAAAGCTAAGCCAGCTTTTTAGTCCTAGGGTGATTTCCCACATTTCACTATTACTATTCATCCCATATGGTAAAAGGGAAACCGTGAGGGACACTGGCATTCCTCCGCCTTTAGAGGGGATTTTTTTCCTTCTCCAAAAGCAAAGAATTGATAAAATGGTGGAGGCTGAAGCTTTTCTCCATGTGTATTCCAAACCAGTGTTGAAGATGGTTGCTGTGGGCCAGAACTCTTTTTCCTAGGCCTAAAATAGTTTCTGGGAATAGCCACAGGTTACCCTGGTCAAGAATAAGTATATCAGAATTGCTCCCAATGCCAGAGAAGATTTCATTCATCCCAACAAAGGAAAAGTGATGCTATAGTTGTTTAACTGAGCTGAAGCAAAAGAATTCCTCCCCATCTCCTTTTGTGTATAGGGGAACTTACTGCTCCTCTAGGCAACATGGCACCCTGATCCTACTGCTAATGTTCTGTGATGGCTGCTGCCTTTCAGATGGACTGTTCTGCATCCCGATCAAGTAGTGACCATTTGTCCCCTCCATCCTCTATCAGGGTGCTGTGCCGAGACAACCTATCTGATGTCAAGGAGGACAGTGACACTTGGCTGACCTGATCCCATGAGGTGGCCTTGTTGTCCCACCGCCAGTCATCCATCCCAATGTGAATACTGACCTGGGATGGATTAAGGGGTTTCATGTGCCCATGGGCTTGGGCTTCATACTTTTCCATATCTGGTTTCTTGTAACTAGGAAGAAGGAGACAAGGAAAGCCTTATGGAATTTTTTAGTATTTTTTTTTTTAGCTCTTATAGACTAAGGAAATGTTATGTCTGCTGAAAGACTTTAAGCAAGGATCACCCCAAAAAGAAAAGCTAAAAAGACAGTACCAAGGGCTGCCCCATTCATGTTATTTTATCGTTTATTTTTATTATTTATGGGTGACTTTTGTTTTTACTTTAATCATGTCTAGTTATACCTCTACTCCCACCTCAGGAGACTTCCCAAGTAACCAGGGAAAGGAATTTAAACAAAAACAGCAGACTCGGTGATCACATCTGATTATGTATGCAACATTCCTCACCCACCTCTCTCACAACAGGAGCTACATTTCCCTCCTCTGTCCTCTTGAATCTCATTCCCTTTAAAGGAAAAAATGGCTCTACTTTCCCAAGTAGTAGGCATCTTTAAAAACAGACAACTGAAAGAGCCTCATTGAGAGCAAAAATGACACCATTTGGATATAACGTAGGGCAGGTACCCCCAGCATTTAGTGAGTGTTAATCATCATTAGAGAGTCTGTTGTTGATGAATAATTTTACAAATAGCACATTCAGCTTCACTGGAAACTTTCTCATCTTAAATCTCAGCCCTCTTGCGGCAACCCCAGACTCAAAGGTGAGCCTTCTCAAGACCATAAAAAAGAAAAGCTCTGCTGAAAAGGTGACCTGGCTTTTCAAGCAGGGATAGCCTTTCTATCCTAGACCTTGTGGTCTCCCTTTATGGCACTTACAACTTCAGCTGTAGTGAGGAAAGTACCACAGACACGGAGGAGGCGGCCATGGCAGCGGATCCCATCCAGGGCTGCAGCACAATGCCAATGGGCATGAACACACCTAGCCAACAAGAAATAAACATACAATAAAATTTAAAAGCAAACAAAACCAACCTCAGCCTCACGTCTGAAGCCCTACACAATGACTCTCACGTGCCTTTCCAGTTTTGTTTCATACTTCTCTCTTTTTTTTGAGCAAAAAATGAGCACTTATCAGGTGCCTAACAAGGGCTAGACACCAGAACACAAATACAAAGAGCGAACCGATCCTTCCCAACAAGTTTTATGTTCTAAAATTCTACCTTTTGGTTAAACTGGTCAGATAGCTCTACCACAATCAATCAATCAAACATTTATTAAACACCTACTATGTGCCAAACACTAGGCTAAATACTGGGGAATACAAAAGGAAGCAAAAGATAGTCCCTACCCTCTAGGAGCTTACAATCTAATAGAAGAGACAACATGAAAATAAATATATACACAGCAAGCTATATACAAGAGAAATAGAAAATTAACAGAGGGAAGGCACTGGAATTAAGAGGGGTTGAGGAAGACTTCTTTTATTAATCGGGACTTAAAGGAAGCCAGGGAGGTCAGTAATTAGACGCAGGAGGGAGAGCATTCCAGGCATGGGGGACAGAGAGCCAGAGAAAATGCCTGAAGCTGAGAGATGGGTGTCTTGTTTGTGGAACAGCCAGGAGACCAGTGTGACTGGATTGAAGAGTACGTGGTGGGGTATAGGGTGTCAGAAGACTAAAAAGGTAGGAGGCAACTAGGGTATGATAATCTTCATCTTCCTCCTCTGTACTTTGACGCAGGTGGTCCAGATGGCTCTGGCGTAGAGAAGAGGCTGGTGACTTTGCACAGCCCTGCCTTACTTAAATCCAATTCACTCGCAAGTCAATACATCACCTTCCTGATGTCATCGGTCTTCTTCAAGAATGAAGAACAAAAACAACAGTCCTGACTCAGAGAGTCCCAAGCTTCTTCCCAGAACAGCCTGAGGCCTTTCATGATGCCTCCTCCCAGTTCCTCCTGTTCCTTCCCTTTTGAAGTTACTTTGTAGATACTCTGAGTTGGCAAGCCCCTCTAGTAGACTGTAAGCTCCTTGAGGGAAGGGATCATTTTGTTTTAGATTTTGTATCCCCAGCACCTAGCACCTAGGAGGTGCTTAATGGGTGCTTGTTTAATTTAATTACTCAGCCCCTAAGGAAGCAAAAGGAAAGCATGCTCTGCACCAGCTCACAACTCCAGGACTACCTTTAGTTGTCCTAACTCAGGCAACAAAATCTATCCTTTCTTCATACCAGTGTTTTCCCAGTGATCTGGTAGCAAAAAAATCAAATCGTGGGTAGCCAGAAGGTAAGGGAGAAATATAGAGCACGAGGGAGCAGGCTGCTCCAAGAAATAGCATAAAGTACGTGATTGGTAAAGGTGTGCTAGTCCTGCCTTCAGAATGGAGAAGAAAGAGAGCTCCTGAGCGCTGTGCTAGCCATCACATTAAAAGGCCCAGAGAAGTCCTCAGCCTACCGGGGAGATGTGGTGCTGAGGATTTGTGGAAGGAAATAAACAGCGACAGCAAAGGCATAAGAGGGCACCGAGACTTGTGGTCTGGCAGAGTCCCCCATCTATGCCATCGCAGAAGCTACAACAATCAACATGATCCTAAGCCCAAGAGGTTATCTCTGGGGGACGGCAATCTATTGTTTTACATGTCTCTCTCTCTCTCTCTCCCCCCCTTCTCTTCTGCCCTCCTCTTTTTGCTGTTGTGTGGTTATTTCAGTCATGTCTGAGACTTCATGACTCCATTTGGGGTTTCCTTGGCAGAGATACTGGAGTGGTTTACCATTTCCTTCTCCAGCTCATTTTATAGATGAGGAAACTGAGGCAAACAGGGTTAAGTGACTTGCCCAGGGTCACACAGCTAGTAAGTGTCTGAGGCCAGATTTGAACTCAGGAAGATGAGTCTTCCTGACTCCATGCCCAGAACAACATCCAACTTGCCACCAAACTGCCTTCTCTCCGCAGCTCCACACTCCCCTCAAAATCATCTTCAGCATTTCTCTCCTGAGCACAAAGCTCACTGGGCATGAAGCACTTTAGAATGAAACAATTCAACTATTATGTTTTCAAAGCTAGAGAGTGTGAAATCATGGAATGGTAAAAGAGACTTCATGCTCCTTAATGATCCCATCTGCTTGGCTCTTCCTGAAACTGGTCAGCACATGGCATTGTAAAGTTTAAGGGCAATTTTATAGATGTATATAATTTATCAAGGCATTTGGGGAGAGGTTTGGGGAAAGGGAAGTGAAACCCTGGAATGGAGCATGGTACAGGGGAAAGTATACTGATCCTGGAGTCAAGGGGGGCTGGGTTCAAATCCTGCCTCGGATACCACCCAAGTGTCTTTGGAAAAGTCACAGCTTCCCTGGGCCTCTCCTTCCTCATCCATAAAATGAGGGAGGGTTGCATTAGTTGACCTCTGAGGCCCCTTGAAGCTCTGCATCTATGATCATAAGTAGCAAACGTGATCAGAAAAAAAATTAGGAAAAAGTTACATTAACAAAGGAGAGGGGGTTATTTTTTTTTAATGTAGGCTACTGGCACAAAGTTATAATAATATTACATAATAATAATAATAATTATTGTTATTATAATTTTTGGAATTTACAGGTTATTCCTACTTTCATCCCATTGAGAATTCTCAAAGGCCATGCCTACAATCTACAAATTCTGACAGGTCCTTTCAAGCTGAAGACTTCAAATTCTATCTAGTAGTGAATTACACTTTTCTTTTTAGAATATAAGCTGCTTGAGGGCGGGCTTATCTCTTTACCTATAATCTCTAGCACATAGTAGGCATTCAAGAAAGGCTCAGTCAGTGAACTCTCCATTACTCCCCTAGCTAGCTATAGAGAGGCTCCCCACTAGAAGGTTAGTTTGCAAGTGATGAATTTTTCAGTTTTTTTGGGGGGGGGCAATTGGGGTTAAGTGACTTGCCCAGGGTCACACAGCTAATAAGTGTCAAGTGTTTAGTCCCAGGCCGGATTTGAACTCAGGTCCTCCTGACTTTAGGGCCGGTACTCTGTCCACTGTGCCACCTAGCTGCCCCAGGTGATGAATTTTTTCAAGGAGAAACTCAAAAAGACCTGAGGGGTTGAGAACAAGCTATATTGGTAGAAGGAATTCATGCTGATTAAATACCAGATCATCAGGTGTTTGAAAATCAGTTCTCACCCAAGGACATCAAAGCACTTTGTTTTAACAGAAACAAGGGGTCTTACTCCTGACATGGTACAAATGCAGAAACCAAGATAGGTGAAATGACCTGGCCACACAAGTGCCTGGCTCTTTGTCAGACTGAAAAGTAAAAGCAAGCTTTCAACTATAATTCTGAGAGGAGGGGATGGTTCTACCGCCCTAGTGAATGAGAAATGAATGCTGGCAAGAGCACTAATCCCTGTTACATGAGCCACCTGTAATTACAAAGAGAGAGAGAGAGAGACTAAAGATGGAGAAGTCATGTCCAGAGATTTCATCCCTCTTTTCCACCACAGTGTGAGCATTTCTCTACATTAGAAATTCCACTCCTATTCCTTAGTTTCCTCAGCTGTAAAAGGGAGACGATAATAACATCTACCTCCCCGGGTGCCTGTGAACATAAAATGGGATAAGCTGTAGAATGCTTTGCAAACCTTAAAGCACCATGTAAGTGCTATCTATGGAAATACTAGCTTTCTAACTGTAGAAGTTTCACATGGAGGGAGTAGGGAGGGAAGGAGATATGGGAGCTAGGTGTTCCAGACTTTAAACATAGGGCTTCATCTTGACAAGATCTAAAGGGAGAGCTGGATCTTTGGATTGAGATAGATGTGGGAGAGACAGAGAAGGGTGTTGGTAAAGGGAAACAGCAGCTGGGCAAGTGAGGACAAAGAGACCCTTACTTTGCAAGATGTGTGATTTCATCTGTCCAGCACATACTCCCTCTAGGGACATAGATCGCAACCTCTCCATAGAGTATCAAATGTGGCAGAAAGCAAGCTGGACTTGCATAAAGGACTTTATTAAAGTTGCACTGTTTACATTCCTACGTGGAAAGATGATATTTGTAACTTATGAGATCTTTGTCAGTTTTACATGTGTGTAAAATACATGTGTGTGTGTGTGTGTGTGTGTATATATATATACACACACATATACATATATATACATATACATATACATATATAGACAGAAGGCACAGGGTAAGTTGAATATGAAGGGATGATATCTAAAAATTACAATTAAGAGGTGAGAGGTAGGATGGGGTAAATTATCTCACATAAAACAGACAAGAAAAGGCTTTTACAATGGAGGTGAAACAGGGGAAGGTGAGAAGGAATGAGTGAATCTTATTCTCATCAGATTTGGCTTAAGGTGGGAATAACATACACACTCAACTGGGTACAGAAATCTATCTTACCCTACAGGAAAATAGGGAGGAAGGAGATAAGAGAGGGGGGAATGATAGAATGGAGGGCAGATTGGGAGAGGGGGTCATCAAAAGTCAACACTTTTGAGGAGGGACAGGGTCAAAGGAGAGAATGGAATAAACGGGGGCTGGGTGGGATAGTATGGAGGGAAATAATTAGTCTTTCACAACATGACTATTACGGAACTGTTTTGTATGACTACACATGTATAACCTATATCAAATTGTTTGCCTTATCAATGAGGGTGGGTGGGGAGGGAGGAAGAGAGAGAATTTAGAACTTAAAGTTTTAAAAACAAATGTTAAAAACTGTTTTTACATGCAACTGGAAAATAAGATATACAGACAGTGAGGTATAGGAATCTATCTTGCCCTATAGGAAAATAGAAGGGGAAGGAGATAAGAGAAGGGGGGGGTGATAGAAAGGAGGGCAGATTGGGGGATAGGGAAATCAGAATGCAGGCTCTCTTGGGTGGGGGCAGGGAGAGAGATGGGGAGGAAATTTGGAGCTCAAAATCTTGCAGAAGTGAATGTTGAAAACTAAAAACAAATTAATTAATTAATAAAAATACTTTTAAATAAATTTCCATTTCAAAAAAAAAAAAGAAAGAAAGCTAGACTTGGAGGGTCCTGGTTCTGGCACTTCTTAGCTGTTTGACATTGGGCAATTCATTTAATCTTTCTTTCCCTTCTTCCTTATTTGCAAAAAATGGAGCTAATAATATTTACCTTACCTTAAAGTGAAAGTTCTATAAAAATGCCAGCTATTATACTACCTGATGTGCTAGAGACCTTTCTCATGAGAATACAAAGATAGTGTGGTTCCTTCTTTCACATGCTCTACCCTGAGAAAGAAAGATGTCCCTCCCACTTATGTGGGCAGTACAGGTAGAAATTGTTCATTGTTGTTGTTTGTTAAAATGTCCTATGATCTTGTTGGTACCTCAAAGTTTTCTGCCTCAGAAAACCCCATTCTCTCCCTTAGTGGATAGATGCAAGTAAACAGTTTTCTATCTGTCTCCCAAAAATATAGAGAAATGAATGATACAGCTATCTCTCTCTCTCCACCAGGGATTACCCTCCATCAGGGTACAACTCATCTCCAATTCATAAAAAAAATTAAACCAAGACAGTTCCTCCACTCCTTCTTCTTTGGAGTCAAGAGCTGACTTAACGAACATCTGTGCAACAAAAGAATTGCAAATCACCACCTACCTGCTGCAATGGGTATCCCAACGAGGTTATAAATTAAGGCCAAGACAAGATTTATTCGTATTCTCCGGACAGTCCTCTTGGAAAGATGAATGCTAGCAACCACATCTAGCAAATCATTCTGAAACACAGGAGCATATTGCAACTCAGGAAGCCATCTTCATTGACTATGCCCTCCTCCCCTTCCACTTCCTTCTACAAGTTAGGGGAAAAAAAGAAGGCAGCTAGTTGGATCCAAGCTCACCCTAATGAGGACAACATCGGCAGCTTCAATAGCTACATCTGTCCCCGTCCCAATGGCAATACCGACGTCAGCCCTTGCCAAGGCTGGAGAGTCATTCACTCCATCTCCTACCATGGCCACTTTATTCCCTTGGTTTTGAAGCTCCTGGACCTTTGCCACCTTGTGAGAGGGGAGGACTTCTGCAAATACTTTGTTAATACCCACCTGTAAAGGAAAGAAAATCATAGTGTGGTATCAGAAAGCCAATAACAGCCCTCAGAAGCCCGGGGCTTCCAGTCTTTCCTCCTGCACCAAGAACATGTGTCCTGAAAGATGGTGATCAGTAGAGGTGGGCTACACTGGGAAAGATAACAACATACTGTCATCGTGCCTTGACCACCTATCTCTCAGATCAAGGAGGGCTGAGAGATGAGACTGGCTAGTAAAGGCAATATGGTACAGTGGAAAGACAGCTGGACCTTGGGAAGCTCTGGTACCTTTTCAGAGCCTTAGTTTCTCATCTTTAAAATGGGGATGATAATGATATTTGTACCACCTACCCCACAGGGCTGATACAAAGAAAGCATTATAAATCTCAAGGCACCAAATAAATGTGGATTGTAATTATCTTATTATCAAGGGAGGAATTGGAAATGCATACGAATACCAGAAGAGTAAACTTATTTGGGACAGCTACTAAGCAATAAAGTATGCATTTAGGCAGCTCAAGGGAGATCAAAGAATCACCAACTTTTAGAACTGAGACCATGGAGACCTCCAATAGAATGTAAGTTCTTTGAGGGCAGGGACTGTTTCACTTCTGTCATTGTGTCCCCAGGATTTAGTACAGTGCTTGGAATATAGTGAGTGCTTAATAAATGTTCATTGATTGGGATGATTTACCGTAGTGGCTCCAATTTTAGCAACAGTTATTAAAAGAGTGTCCATGTATTCCTGTATGCATCAGGTATTGTCACTTTGTCATCATGTATGTGTGTGTGTGTGTGTGTGTGTGTGTGTATAAAATCATGTATATATACCAAGAATACTTTTTCTAGCAGAAGTTTTATTAATGGAATTTGTTTGACATCAAAAAATGTTCCTCATAATGAAAGGCTGAGAACCACAGATTAACTCCAACCCGAGGTAGAGAGCAAAAGCCAGGTCTTTCTTAGAACCACCATTCCAGAGCTCAGACACAGCCATTACTACTTTAAAAATTTTTTTTTTTTTATGCAGCCATTACTTCTAACTAAGCTTCTCAGGTAAACATGAGCTGGTAGAAAAGCACTATTACCTCCACCTCTGGCAAATTCTGTTTTCCTGAATCTGTACTCTAGAGTCCAAGATTTAATGGAGCATCACCAGATAATTGCCATCAGGTATTCCTAAGCCATAAAACCTCCCATACAAATTCCCATGTCCTGAATTCCAGCTAACTTCTGGAAAACAAGAAGTAACAATGCCTGCATGCAAACAAATTTAGATCATGGATTACATTGCATGAGGACGTCTATATTTACTGATACTTTCTTCATCAGCTATTGCTAAACATGAGGTGGTTTTTAAAAGCCCAAGATCGTGGACAGTTATGAACAGCTTGTTCCCAGCAAATAGTGCTAATCTCACCTCTAGGGCTCCACGCTTTGTTTTTAGCCTCTCTTTTCTGGTGTGACAATATGTAGTTAGAGGATGAAGGCCTGGCTTTGCTACTGCTTCCCTAAGGGACCTTGGATAAGTCCCAACTTCTCTGGACCTCAGTTTCCCTACTGGTAAAATGAGGGTGTGGGATTCTATCATCTCTAAATCCTAGGATACTGTGAGGTTCTGATATGTTCCCTGTCCCACCCCCACCCCAACTCCTCTCCCTGGCCCATGTCTCGTGTTCTTTTCCTTCTTTCTAATCATCAAAGTCTGCTTACAACTATGTGATATAGACAATGTTTCTGTAATACTGGAAAATGATGACAGCTTGGGAAAACCACAACCTCTGTCATCCTCAGTTCCCTCATCAATGAGAGGTTGGGGGTAAACTGAATTAGAGGTTCTTAACCTGGGACCTGGGTCCATGGATTGACTTCAGGGGGTCTATGATCTTGGATAGGAAAAATTACATCTTAATTTTCACTAACCTCTAACTGAAATTTATAATTTCCTTCAATTCTTTAAAAACATTACTCTGAGAAGAGGCTTATGGACTGGTTACCAAACTGTCAGAGGGTCCATGACACACAAAGGTTAAAGATCCCTAAATCAGATGATCTCTAAGGTCACTTCTAATATTCTATGTCAGAATTAAAGGATCACACTGAGGTATGAGGGACTAGAAGGTTTACTGGGCTGTCTGGTTAAGGGATGTTTGCTTTTTAAACAGGGACCATAATGCTTTAACCCAAAGGAATGAATCACTAATGGTGGGTTTTGGGATAGTTGATGGTCAAGTGAAGAAGCCTTCTTAGGTCCCCTCAAGTCATATCATATAGGAATCCAATAACAGCAATAGTAATGACAGCTGACATTTATACAGGGTTTTTTTGGGCTTTGCAAAGTGTTTTACATACATCTCATTTGATCTTCACAACAACTCTGTAGCAGATGCTGTCATGATCCCCATTTTCAAGATGAGAAAACTGAGGGATGGAGACATTAAGAGACATACCCAAGGCTACACAGCTATGAGTGTTTGAGGCGGGGTTCAAATCCAAGTCATCCTGACTCCAAATCCAGTATACGATCTACCACTCTATGTTGCCTCTCTGCTGACCTATAAGGACCACTGCAGGTATGGAAAATGCATAGAGCTGATGTTTAAAAGTATGTGAGTCCAGCTTTAAGCAAAGAAGAAATCATAATCATTGGCAGTGGCATTTTTGTGAAGTTTTTTACCCTAGATTCTGTTTTGGAATTCTATGTTGGTATGCTACCATGTGAGCAGAGCACATTACTAAAAGGGCAAGGATAATACTCTTCGCCACCATTAGGAGAACTCATCCACATTCATGAGCTATGATTTGTTCAGATACTGCAAATGAAAGCAACCCTGTGATTATAACTTGATAACCTTTTCCCTAAGAAACAGCCTGGCAACACCCTGTGTCTTTCAGGGACCAAACTTTCTTAGAGGCAGACATGCTGAAATTTAGCCTCTAAAATATTCTGCATAACTTCTTCTTTCTTAGACAAGGTATAATCAGTAGAAAAGGATTAACTAATTTTTAAAAGCACAGGATTTAGAGCTGGAAACAATCTTAATGATCATCCCAACCCCTTAATTTTACACAGGGAACCACAGACCTAGAGCTGGAAAGGACCCGAGAGGCCATTTAGTTCAACACCTTCCTTTTAGAGGTGATTTAAGTGACTTGTCCAGGGTCATATTGACATGGAGTGTCAACAGTAAGATCTGAACCCATGCCCTCTGACTCCCAAGCCAGTGGTATTTCTCCTGGACCATAATGCCTCCTCTCATTATGTACATCTTGTCTCTCCTATTAGACTGGAAGTTCCTTGAGGCCAAGTATTCTCTCTGTCTTTGCATCACTAGAGCCCAATTTAGTGTCTCATGGATAATAATAGCTTAATATAAATGTTTGTTGGTTTTCAGTTACCTGCAGTTACATTTCTCTTTTATGAACTTTTCATAATGATGTATTCATTCTATATTTATTCTCTTCCTTCTCACTGGATTCTGCTTCAATTCCTACAAATCTCTCCATGCGTCTCTGAATTCTTCATTTCTTATTGTATAATAATATCCCATTACACTTCGATACCTCAATTTTGGAAGCCATTTCCCAATCGAGAAGTACCTTTCTACTTCTAGCTTTTTGCTATTACAAAGGATACTGCCACCAATAATTTGGCATGGACCAGATTTTTGTTTCTGCCTTTGATTCCTTAGGTGTATGTGCCCTTTAATGCAACAGTGAGGCTAAAGGGTCTGGAGAGTTTAGTCACTTGCTTAACTCCAAAATTAAATCCAGAACTGTAAGGCCCCTTCACAGCTCCATCAGCACGCATATACGATAAACAAGATTAATTACACAGCTAGTAAGCAGAGAAAGAATCCAAACCCAGGGGTCTTGTTCCCTTGGTTTACCACTCAGAAAAAGCTCAGATTCTGTATTAGGTGGGCAGGGATTCAAGCAAAGGTGCTGAGCCAGAAAAGTGTCTTCCTCTGATATGATGTTAGCTTTTTCCCCCCCTTTTTTAAGCAAATAAGGAAACATACACAGAAAAGATGGAGTTGTTTTTCACTCCAAGGTCAGGTTAGTGGTATCAGTGATGAAGACCAATACAGAACATGAAAGTCATGAGAAGCCTAGAAGGGGTCCCAGCTTTCGAGTCAGCAGACCTGGGACATTTACTATCTGTGTCTGTGGTGAAAATGAAGATAACAATACATACCACCCAAAGATTTAAGTTTCCTCACTAGGTGGTGGCCTGCCTGATCCCGAAGGTCCCCTGGGACTCTGAACCCTAGGATACTGTGACATGTGGAGCCAAAGAGAGCCACCACCGAAATCATTAACAGACCCCAAGGAGAACACATACAACCAACAAACCAAACACAGCTGTAAGCAGACCTGTGTGGCGATGGCTTTTGCGGTTTTCCTGTTGTCCCCTGTTATCAGAACCACATCCACACCCATACTTTTGAGGGTATGGACAGCCAGTGCTGCCTCCTGCTTGACAGAATCCGCTATGGCCACCATCCCACAGAGCACACCTGGGAAGAAAATAATCTTTGTTAAATAACCACAGAAAGTGAAGCAAAACAAACCAGAGGAGGAAAAAAAAGGGGGCTTGTTAGCTCATTCTCTCCTGTCACTTCCTAAAGAATATACAGGTGTCCCCAAAGTTTTAGTGTTCTTTTAAGCTTTAATAGCTTTCAAAGAGCTGTTCAGTTTTTAATAACCTTAAGTCCCAAGAGCATCTTGTATTTTCCCAGAGTGGATTTTTTTGTAAATAAAAACAGTAGCTAGCATGTGTGATTCAGGTTTGGCCAATAATGTTGCCCACAGCAGCCAGGCTATAGTGAGTGGGCTCTCTTCTCTAGCCAAAGATAGTTTTCTTCTATCATAAAAAAGCAACAAGCTTCAATCAATCAATCAATCAGTAAACATTAATTAAGTACCCACTACGTGCCAGGCATTGTGCTAAGCACTGGGGAAACAAAAAAGGAAAAAACAAACAATCCCTGCTGTCAGGGAGCTTATAATCTAACATGGAAGAAAACATGTAAACAAACACATGCAAACAGGGTATATGCAAGATAAACAGAAAATCATTAACAGAGAAAAGATGCTAGAATTAAGAGGGCTTGGGAAAGGCTTCCTGTAAAAGATGGAATTTAAGTTGGGATTTGAAGTGAAGAAAGTCAGTAGAGGGAGCAGAGGAGAGAGAGCATTCCAGGCATGGAACATCTCTTGCTCCCCATGAACCAGCTTACACATTTATACATTCCTAGCACAGTTTTCCAATTCTAGGCTTCCTTTAAAATTCAGTTCAAGTACCACCTTCTCCAGGAGGCATTTCCTGATCACCTCCTCCTCCCACTCTGATTGTTGATGCCATCCATTCCTAAGGTCACCTGCCATCTACTCTGTGTTTATCTTTTATGGTCTGACTTATAGAATGTAAGCTCATCAAGGGAAAGGGCTATTTTTGTATTTTCTCTGTTATCTCTAGCTCTATGTCCAGTACCTAGCTCATACAGTAAATATTTAATAAATGCTTGTTGATTGATTGACTAATGAGAAATTGGGCCATGTAAATGGGAGGAGTGAATTGGCGATTGAGGGTAGGAAAGAGATGCAGGGAGCAAGACTTCTCTAATTACATGAATCATGAGCAATGGTTTAACCGAATGGAAAAGAAGATAACGTGAAAGAAGAAACGGCATTGAAACAAGGGGGAAAGAACAAAATGGGAAATGAGAAAACACGTATTTGGCCAAAGCCAAAGGAAAATGGGATGAGTAAAAGGAATGACGATAGATTACTATAGGCCAAAAGTTAAGTGTAAGACACATAGAAAAGGAAGCTAAGAGGAAGAGAATTCTGGCAAGGTGGTTCTGGGAGGAAGCTATAAAAAAAGAGAAAAAGAAAAGAAGGCAATGAGAAATAGAAAGAATCTCTTAAGGTTTTGAAAGAAAAAAAAGATAGGTTGTAATTTGTCTGTTAAATTTTAGGTATAAGGTATAACTTACTTTATAAAATACACATGTTCCTGAAATCAATTTTTGTAAACGGAATCATCAAATGTCCTAGGGGAGCTTACTATTTAAAGGATTTTTGCAATGAATATCTTTTAGAAGCAAAAGATTTTTACTTCATAAATCTAAGGCTTCATATACTGGGCTCTTTTGAAGCAATTTTAGCCTAAAAGAAGACAGGCTATGATTATAATATGGTGCCAATGTAGCTGGGAACGATTAGATGAAGGAGAAAGAGTAGGAATCAGAGGTCTAAAAACAGGATGACCAATGTCTCGAACAGAAATTGGACTGTCAATAAAAGACGAAAGGAAGGACATGAAGTTAGTCTTGCAGAACAGAAAAATACTGTAGATCCAGTTTAACTATATTTATATTTATAGCATAACCATATTTCAGTAAAATATCTAAGTCAGTTCATGTTATGCTTGGATGAAATGGAGATGTGAGTAGCCAACAGTACACAATAGTATCATTCAGAATTGGCTAAATGACCCGACCCAAAGAGTAATTAGTTACTAATGCTATGATGAGAAGAGGCAAAGAGGTGGGAGGAGGTATACAGTGAAATGCCCCATTTTTGCCAAATGCACAAAAAAGCACCTTTGAAAAAAATCAGTAAGGAAGTCACTAAAGTAAATTAAAATGATAGCTCTGGCCAGGGGTATGCTAGCAAATATTTAACAACTGGCTTGGGGCAGGAGGGGGAATGTATGTACAACATACTTTTTTTTGGTGAGGCAACTGGGGTTAAGTGACTTGCCCAGAGTCACACAGCTAGTGAGTGTTATGTGTCTGAGGCCGGATTTGAACTCAGGTCCTCCTGACTCCAGGGCTGGTGCTCTATCCATTGTACCACCTAGCTGCCCCTACAACATACTTTTAACTTTAATCTGCATTATTAACATTTTCTCCATCACTTTCTTAAGCTTAGACAATCAACAGAACAATAAATCAAGCCCAGATTTGTAGTGTCTGCTGATTTCCAAGATATAAATGATCACACTGAAAATTTAACAACTGTTTATCACAAGTTAGTGTGAGCTGCACTCTTGGATTTTTCTCATTTAAAGTATGCAGCTCCCTGGCATGAGTAGCCCGAAAATCTTTAAAGGACATAACACTCAAAATCTAATAAAGCAGCTCCAATACCCCTGTAATACAGCTCAGACTCTTACAAGGCCCCCCCAAATTCCCTCTGAAAGTACACAGAACCTGGCCCTAACACAAAGTCTCAGTTTGAGAAATGACACTGGAAGAAAGTGTAAAGAACAAAAAAGGTCAACCAATGTGTCAATCAATGACCTCTGTTTCAAGAGGTATTATAAAGTCACAGATGCTTTAAAGTTTGCAAAGTACTTTATATACATCATCTCATTTGAGCCTCGTAATATCTCTGCCAGGAATGCAGAAGTGGTTGAATATTGAGAAAACTATAAACAAATTAGACTACATTAAAAACAGGAACAACAAAATCAGGAGATGCAGAAAAAGCTTTTGATAAAATACTCATCTCTGTTAAGAACACTAAAAAGCATAGGAATGGGAAGTACTATCTATCTAAAACCAAGAGCTAGCATTATACATAATGGGGATGATCTAGAGACCTTTCCAATAAGAATGTGAGTAAAGCAAGGATGTCCATTTTTAAAAATAAAGTTTTAGAAATACAAGCTATAACAAGAAAACAAGAAAAAGAAACTGAGGGAATATAGGAAAGAGGAAACAAAAGGATAGTTTTATAGTTGATATAAGAATCATAAAGACAACTAAAATTAATTAAAACAATTCCAGTAAATTTAAAGTATGTAAAAGTTCACTTAAATCATCAGTATCTCTCTATTTTACCAACAGCATCCAGGAAGAGAGATAAAAAGAGAAATTCCATTTAAAATAACTACAAGATGTATAAAATATATAGGATTCTATTATCAAGAAACACACAGTAACTATATGACTTTAAAAAACACTTTATGGAGATAGGCTTAAATAACTGGAGAAATATTAATTGATCATGGGTAGACAGATCCAATATAATAGAAATTATATCACTACCTAAATTAATTTAACCATTCAGTACCATACCAATCAAACTTTCCAAAAGATTACTTTATAGAGTTGGAAAAAATAATAAGTAAATTCACCTGACAGAAGTCTCAAGAAAAATCATTTTTTTAAAAATGGAAAGGGAAGAGGTCTAGCAATATCACATCTTAAACTATATTACAGAGAAGTAACAAATAAAATTATTTGGGACTTCTTAAAAAATGGAAAGGTCAAATAGTAGAACAGACTAGGAACACAACACAGAAACAAACAAATACTGTGGCAAGGTGTGATAAACAATGGAGGAGAAGCTTGCTATTTCACTATTCGTCATAAACTATGGGCAAAACTGGAAACCAGTCTGGCAGAAGCTAATTTTGGAGTAGACCAACACCTCACACTGTATGCTAAGATAAATTTCAAATGGATATATGACAGACATAAATGGTCACATAAAAAACAAGTTAGAGGAGCAAGGAAAGAATTACTATTTACAACTATAGATAGAGGATGAGTTTATAACCAAATAAAGGATAGATAGGATCACAGAAGATAAAATTTACTATTTTGGTTACATGAAATTAAAAAAAAATTGCACAGACAAAAACAATGCAGTCAAAACTAAAAGTGTAATAGTTACCTAGGAAAAAAATCTTTGCAATCAAGTTTCTTTTATAAAGATCTCATTTTTGACATGCACAAGGAATTGATTCAAATTTATAAAAACAAGAGCCCCCAACTGATAGTAGTCAAAGGATACAAGTAGGCAATGTTCAAAGGATAAAATATTCAAGCTATCAATAGCTATATGAAAAAGTGCTCCAAATCATAAATAGAGAAATGCAAATCAAAGCAACTCAAAGGTTAGCCATCAAATTGGCAAAGATGACCAAAAAAAAAAATGCTGGAGAGGCTGAAAGAAAACAGGTGGAACTATGAATTAGTTTGGCGATTTGTGAAAGTGACTTAAAATTATGTTCAAAAAGTCATTAAACTGTATATACCCTTTGATCAAGTAATATCATGAATAGACTCCAAAGAGATTAAAAGAGGAAATCAGTACACATGTACATAAATTTTATAGAAGCTCTTTTTGTAGTAGTAAAAACTGAAAACCAAAAGGGTGACCATTAATTGGGCAATAGTTGAAGAAATTGTGGTATATGAATGTAATGGAATATTATTGCACCATAAGAAATATAAAATGTACAATTTAAGAGAAACCTGGGAAGACTGAACTGATGCAGATTGAAGTGGACAGAACTAAAAGAACCACATATACAGCTCTACAGTGCTATAAAGATAGGCAAGCTTTAAAGACTTAAGAACTCTGATCCATGCAGTGACAATCTTGATTCCAGAGGACTTTGTTGAAGCATGTCATCCACCTCATAAGAGAAAGGTGATGGACTCAGGATGTAGAAAGGGATAAACTTTTGGACATGGCCAATGTGGTAGTCTGTTTTGCTCAATTATGTATATTTGTTACAAGCGGTTTTTGTTTGTTTCTCAATTGGTGGGAAGACAAGGGAAGAGAAAATAAATGCTTGTTAAATGAAAATTAAGTAAAATAAAAGTTCAAAATAAGGATAGATTTTTGGCACTAATGCTTTTTAAAAAACAATATGCTAAATGTGCTTAGCTAAAGCTTCATGCTGTTGTGAATATAAACAGATTCCTAACACCAAAACATATAGCTCTCACCTTGGGAGAAGGGCAATTTCCAAGGTCAGTCAGGGTAATTTTGGTAGCAGGGATGGGAAAGAATAAATTAGTAAGTTTGACTCAGAGAACACAGCACACACAAGTAATAGATATTACACTGCAAAGTGAACTGAGGAAATGACTTACCATCAATAGCCACCAGTATGGCAGTCTGCCCCTTCATTTCGTGGCTTGTCATGGCATCACTGACATCAGCGGATATAGTTAAACCATTTCGACGCATCCATTCCCGGTTCCCAATCAGCACAGAGTAGGTCTGGGGCGCTGCTGCACCTGTCCAATACAACGTATATTGGGCCATTAGATACAAACAAAGCCCAGTCTGTATTACCTGAGAGGGCTAAAAAACAAGCTAGAATTTATATACCGGCTTGACTACAAAATCCCTACACTTAGCTATCCTGGAAAAGAGGTAGCCATAATTTCCATCCCCCCATCACCCCACAATAGCATTGCTTACAGAAAGGGTAGAAAGGAAAGTATAATGTGTAAAATATACACATCACAGGTATGCATGAGGCCGAGACTTCTGACAACATGTGGTACATTCATGAAAAGATTCTAACAGGGGCTCATTTCACATGCCCAGTGCTTAGCTTAGCACAATGCCTGGCACATCGTGAGCACTTAATAAATGTTTGCTGATTATTTCCTGTAACGCTTTGTAGTTCAAATTTTATCTCAGACACTTACTAGCTGTGTGACAAGTCACTAACCCTTTCTCAGTCTCAGTTGCCTTATCTGTAAAATGGGGAAAATAATAGCACCTCCTTCACAAGGTCACTGAAGGGATCAAATGAGGTATGAAGCACTCTGCAAACATTAAAGTGCTATATAAATGCTAGCTATGATCACTATAATATCTTTCATCTGCCTCTAGCAAAGATGGCTGGCTCTTTTACTGCAGAAGTTCTTACCCTTTTTTATGTCATGGACCCCTCTGGCAGTCTGGTGAAATTTATGAACCCCCTTCTCAGAATAATATCTTTAAATGCATAAAATAAAGTACATGAGATTATAAAGGAACTAAACATATTGAAATACAGCTGTCAAAAATTTTTTTTAATAAAACAAGTTCATAGACTCCAGTTAAGAATCCCTATTAATATCATGTGTAGTGACTTTCTTAGCACCAAACACAATAATCCTTTCCAATACTATAACATAGTCCATCTTGATACTGATTCCCCTAAGGAATCAGTAAGCCATCGTATACTCTACGGTTATTCTTTACTGGTACCTGAATAATGTCATTCCATTGGAGTAACCCCAATTTTTAAATCTCCAGATCCCCAGAACATAGCATAGCATCTTGCATATAGTAGGTACCTTAGCAAATGCTTCTTGAGTTTAGCTGAATTCATCATGCCAGTCTCTAAAGTGTCAATTTTTAAGGGCAGCCATTTTAGTTATTATTTAGGACTATTTCCATTAGCTCCCCTAGAAATGTCAACCTGGAGCTCCGTTTTTGCTAGAGAGTATCTAGCTGTATATAATGATTAATACCATAATTCCAATCTTCTGTCACATCCACAGTAGGCATAAAACTGTCATGGATTTAGGGTACTTGGCTATTTCCATGTATTCAAATCAGAGATACCCGAGCCTTCAGTCTTCAGTTGCCAACTTTCTCATGATCAGTGGTGGTATAACACCAGCTAAGAGGCATAAGCTATCCTCTGTTGCTAGATTTGGGTAATTTGTATTTAATAAATGCCTGATGAATTTAATTATATTACAGTTGTCACTTAAAACAGGGTTAGGAAGATGGCTTCCACTGGGCACAATGAAGTGCCATAAGCAATGACAGTGACTTACAAAGTAGTTAAATTAGTACTTTACTTTGAAAAGCCACTTTAACGGGATATCAGCATTGGCATTATTTGTGGATCTAGAAAGAAATATTCAATATAATTCTAATATTCCAATGGATCTATGATCTCATCAAAGTAGGGATTTTCCCCAATGGTATACATTGCAATCCATCCATGTCTGCCCATCACATGCAACACTTGTTCACAGCTTCCAATAAATTCACCACTAAGTGTCCACCCAACGTGCTGATGATCTTCCTGAAGTTGTCTTGACATCCCAAAAATCCAATGGAGCATTCATGCTGTCTTGTCCAGCAGTTGCCACTTGCTCTCATCACATGACAAGCACATCATTTTTTCAGTTATATATTTCTCTGTTGACATCCCTTATATCAGTAGCCAATAGAAATAGGGCCACTAAACCACACATAAGGATTTCTACAGACTGTACATTGACTTCGAAAACCACATATTAACATTATCTATTCACTATTGTATTTTATTTATTTTGTTAAATATTTCCCAATTACATTTAAATTTGGTTCTGGCCACACTGAGGAGTGTTGCCACATTGTGGCCTCCATTTGACACCTCTGCTTTACATGACTCCTCTTACATAATTCTTTGTTTATAATGTGTTGCAACCAATTTACATCTAAAATGCATTTCTCTGTTATCCTTTGGATTGCCCTTAACTTCAAATTTTCAGAGACTGTAGTATTCCATGAATCACTGCCATACTTACTCTAACACACTTAGCATAGTGCCTGGCACATAGTAGGTGCTATATAAATGGTAGACATCATTATTATCATCATCACCACCACCACCACCACCACCACCATCATTCTGATACATCACTGGAAGAATACTGGTCTTTAAAAGATGAGCTTTTGTTTCAGGGAGAAGCTTACAATTACTAAAAAGAAGCTTGTAATTTCCCAAAGGCAATTTTCAATTTTGGGCCCAGCTCACTGTTCATCTGTAGCACCTGTCCCAAATCTCCATACTAATAAACAAGCTCTAAGAGTTGCCCATCCAACTGTATAATAATAATTTGGATGACAGCATTCTTTACCCACAAAGGTATTCCCAGGTGGATAGTTGGACCAAACTCTTCTGAGAAATGATGCTATTTATAGGAGGATCTATAATGTTCCAGGGCTTGGTACGACTGGCATAATGCTATCCACAAATAGAAAAATCTCAAGTATCTGACCATTTTCAACACGGACTCTAGTATATAATGGAGGCAAACAATGTTGGTGAGTATACATCTCCCTGTTTTGTGTTTCTCTAGCTATTAATAATCAGAACTTCATTGAACAAGTAATCTGTTTTATCTAGATTTTTTAAGGACTTTCATAACTTTGACATATATATGGGAGGCACCTTGCTGGAAGAGAGACTTAAATATGATGTTTCCAATACTTTTTTATAATCAGAAAACAAAAAGCACAGTGAGGTTTCGTACTCTCTATACCTTTTAGGTAACTGTGGAATGGTAAAGACTGGCTTTTGTGGAATACCATTTATGAAAAAGCCTGTTCCCTTTTAATCCCCACTGCTTAACACAGTCTGTCACAAAATATGCATTTAGTAAATGCTCTACTCCAGACTTGGAGTCAGGAAGACCCAAACTGAAATCTGGCCTCAGACACCACTAGCTGTGGGACCCTGGGCACAACATTTAACCTCTGCCTTCATCAGTTTCCTCATCTGTAAAATGGGAGATGATAATAGCACCTATCTCACAGGGTTGTTGTGATACAAATAATATTTGTAAAGCTCTTTGCAAACCTTAAAACTTTATATATAAATGCTATCTATTATTATTAATATTTATCTCAACATATTTGTGGCTTACTATTACATAAGTTTTGTATATGGCAAAGGAGAGAAAAGGTTGGTATTCATTAATATTCTCATACTTTTTGTTTTTATGGGAGTTTTTTTGGCAATAATGTTTGGAATTTTTCTACACTTTTGATTTCCACCCTCCTTTAGACACCTATTGAATTGATCCCTCAATGCCCTCAAAATCATATCATCTTAAACACAGACCTCTTCTGTGTATACTAAGTCAAGCCCAGATACTTTTCCCATCCTTGTTCTCTTCAGTGCCACAACTTCTAGAAGCACATCCAGGACTGTCCCAATATGATGGCTACAATGTCCTTCATGGCAAAAAGATTTTGATAAAGAAAAAAAGAATAGATATTTTATGTGTTTTATCTCTTTCTTGTCATCCTTTTGTTTTTATTATTAATGTCCCTAGGATTACTTTGCTTAGTTGGGTCTCTCCCTAAACTTTTGAAAAATGTTTTTCCTTTCACTGCTTCTCAGTTGTATGAAGCGATAGTCAAATCATCCACCACCTTTCTCCACAAGATTTTACAAATGCATTTATATTCTATACTGGTGTTGCCTTTGATGGCCATAGCTGTCAGTCTATCAAATAATTCAAGGATTTGCTTAGGCAATTTTTAGGCTCTTTGGGCCTTCTTGTTATATAACTGACTTGGTTAAATTTCCAAACCAAATTGTTAGAATACAGACAAACAGGCCTTCTCTCTGGTCATCACTCCATTTCCCATTGGCTCTTTTGCATGCCTGGAATAAAAACTCCCCTTTTTAACTTCAACTAACAGATTACTCTCCAGCCCTACTTTCTCCATGAAGCTTTTCCTGATCCCCCAAACCCTAGCTTCCTCCCTCTCAAATTGCCTTATATTTAATTACTTTGCATTGATCCTCTATTCCGTATATATTTATAAGTGTACTCATGGTTTTCTCCACTAGAATATAAGCTCTTCGAGAATAAAGATTTTTCATTCTTTATACTTGTTTCACCAGTTCCTACAATAGAGCCTGGCATATAAGGTGTTTAACAAATGTTTGTTGCTCAACTGAATCAGTATTAACATCCTGTCCTCCATCAACTTTCTTTTTTTTTCCCCCGAACACCAAGAACTGGGAGTTATTTTAATTGTACATACATTTCTTCATCTAATTTTATTCTTTCTTCTAGTTTTATGTTCATTTTTACTTTTACTTTAAAGGTTGGTTAACTGACTGCACCAAGATAGCTGAGTCAGAAGATTCTCCAAAAAAAGTAATTTCTTGTCTGTTAAAACATAATCAATCTTGTCTTTTATGATTTAGTTTTGAAGGCTTGCATTTTTCAATGTTTTCTGATTCTCAAAGAAGGTACAGTATTGATCATAGACTCTCATTTTATAACATCTTACAGAGAAGGATAGTAGAAGATTATGAGTAGTACTGCTTCATAAAATGGCATTAAGCAGTAAAGGAAAAAAACTAATAAAAAAAACTTAGCAAGAAACCCAACTAAGAAAAGTCATCCTAAATGCTTTAATGGGTAAAACTGGAAAAGGGACAACAGAGAGCCAAAATTTGGAAATATGAGCAAGGATTTCTATAACAAACTTTTTTCAC